CCTACTGACTGTTTAACTTAGAAAAAACTTTTGAGAATAATAAATGCAAGAAACTTTAAAAAACTGGAATGGAATTATTCAGTCTAAAATCTAATTTTAGATTTTATTATGGTATAGCTTTTTATCTCTCAAGTTTTATCTATAACAACAATTTTCTTTGAGTAATTCTGACTTTGGGGAAGAAAAGAAAGGAAATGATTTATAAGCAGTAGTCTCAGTGTCCTTCATTACCATGCTATCACCCACATTGTCATCAGTATCTTAGCTCTATTTTCTTTGGACCCTGAAATTGGTTGGAAAATTCATCATCGGTACTCTAGAGTTTAATACTTGAAGAAAAAAAAGTGGTTTTGTGGAGCCATATCTGGGATTCCAGTTTACCATTAAAAACGTGCAGAGTAAAGAAGATATTCTTCTTTTGATCCCTGTAGAAACTCTACACAGGTTCTTTATATTTTGGTAGATATGTGCATATCAAATAGGCTACTTGAATTATAAGTTTTCTCCCGGCTGGTACTATGGCTCTGTAGCAGTGAAGTAGTCTTCCAAGAAGGACTGAATATATTCAAATGTTGATCTTTCATCAGGGTCCTTCTTCCAACACAGATTCATCAATTCATGGAGGGATTCCGGACAGCCCTGAGGGCAGGACATCCTGTATCCTTGTTCCACCTATTCCAGTACTTCACGGTTCACCATACCTGGATATGGCACTCTGCCCTTTGTTACCAGTTCCGTCTGTAGAATTCCCAATGACCAGACATCAGACTTTATTGTAAACCCACCGTATAGTGCAGCTTCAGGAGCTGTCCATTTGATTGGAAATTCTGCACCTTGTCTTGCTGTGTATTCATTGTCTTCAATTAACCTTGCTAAACCAAAATCTGCTATTTTGCCCACAAGATTTTCTCCTACAAGAATATTAGCAGCCCGGAGATCTCGGTGAATATAATTCATTCTTTCAATATATGCCATACCATCAGCAATCTGAGCAGCCATATCAACCATTTGTAGAAGCTTCAAATACTTTCCATCTCCTTCCTTCAGTCCTTAAGGAAATCTAATAAGCTTCCTTTTGACATATATACAGTGACAATGTAAATTGGCTCTTCAGAAACAGCAGCATATAGCGGAACAAGTTTACCATGTCTTTTTTTTTTTTTTGGTCATTATCTGAGCTTCTTGAAGGAAAGTTTCGGGCATCATTGTGCCTGGTTGTAGTGTTTGATTGCTACTTTTGTGGTTCCATTCCATGTTCCCATCCACATTTTGCCAAAACATCCTTGTCCTAGTTTAACCTCTAGTCGCAAAATTCTCAAGGGATTTCCCAAGCATCTTTTGCTAGACCTTGAGTCTGAGGTTTCACAGTTGGACACACAGTTAACTTGTGGCATACACTATCAGCATGTTCTGTGTAGTGTTTTGCCAATTTCTGCAGAGCATCCAATTGTTCTCTGGTTGTGATATAGTATCCACCATTGACAAGTTTCCTAATTTTGTAGTGTTTCACATTGTCACCCCTTACCTCATTCCAATCACGAATAGAGAGGGAATAAGCACCTTTAGTAGTTTCACTCTCTCATTTTTGTTTTGTTTTGTTTTGTTTGTTTGTTTGTTTGTTAGATGGAGTTTTTGCTCTTGTTGCCTAGGCTGGAGTGCAGTGGCATGATCTTGGCTCACTGCAACCTCCGCCTCCCAGGTTTAAGTGATTCTGCTGCCTCAGCCTCCTGAGTAGCTGGGATTACAGGCACTCCCCACCACGTCCAGCTAATTTTGCTTTTTTTTTTTTTTTTTTGTTAGTAGAGATGGGGGTTTCACCATGTTGGCCAGGCTAGTCTAGAACTCCTGACCTCAGGTGATTCGACCGTCTTGGACTCCCAAAGTGCTGGCATTACAGGCGTGAGCTACTACGACCAGCCGTTTCACTCTCTCTTCCTAAGAAAATACCTCATTGATTTCCAGGATTCAGAAGTAATCTTTCAGCATCTTTTCTCCCCATTTTGCGAAAATACCATTCTTCTGCCTGAATGGAATCTGCAGGCGCTACAACTGCTCAGGATATAACCATTCTTTCCTGTAGCGATTGATCTTGCTTTCCACCAGTCTCCTTCCGTATTGTTAATTACTTGAAATCTTTCACCCTTCTTAAATGAAAGGTCTTCTGTAGCTCTAGCTTCATAATCATATAAGGCCACAAATATAGTAACACCACCTGTTAAACCAGCAGGATATGAACTTGGCACCACTGAGAATGAGGAAGATGCACCTCCAAAAGGTGTTACCCCTGAGGATCCTCCAAATGGTGTCATGGAAAGACTGCTGAAATTAACTGCTGTTCCCTTTGCTGAAGATGACGGACATGGTGACACTGAAGCGGGTTCTGCTCCTGTGGCTCACCCTTGTACGCACAGGCTCTGGAGTATTTTCAGGTATTTAATGGCTGGAATTTCGTTTTCTTTGCTTTTAATGCAGCCCATTATCAAATCTGTCCTCCAGCTGTGCTCTCATGAGTCGAGGCTGCTGCAGCTCCGGGTGGTGGGAGGGGGCGGTGGGTGGAGGGGAGGCCCCGGGGCTCTCTCCCTCCTCCACCTCCTCGTCCCCCATTTTTGAAGGAAATTTTTGCTGGGAATAGAATTCTAGGCTGGCAATTATCTCTCTCTCCTTTAACGATGGCCATTTCATTGTCTTTTTTTTTTTTTTTTTGAGACAAAGTCTCCCTCTGTCACTCAGGCACCATGGTGCAATGGCACCATCTCAGCTCACTGCAACTCCTGCCTCCCGGGTTCAAGCGATTCTCCTGCCTCAGTCTCTTGAGTAGCTGCAATTACAGGCGTGCACCACGCCTGGCTAATTTTTGTATTTTTCGTAGATACGGGGTTTCACCATGTTGGTCAGGGTGGTCTTGAACTCCTGACCTCATTATCCGCCCGCCTTGGCCTCCCAAAGTGCTGGGATTACAGGCGTGAGCCACTGTGCCCAGCCTCACTGTCTTTTTAAAAAACCATTTTTCTTAAGATGTCAGTCAGTCAAATTGTTGCTCTTTAAAAGTATTGTGTCTTCCCCACCGTTCACCATGGCCTTTTTTTTTTTTGAGACAGAGTCTTCCTGTGTCGCCCAGGCTGGAGTGCAGTGGCGCGATCTCGGCTCACTGCAAGCTCCGCCTCCTGAGTTCATGCCATTCTCCTCCCTCAGCCTCCTGAGTAGCTGGGACTATAGGCACCCGCCACCACAGCCGGCTAATTTTTTTGTATTTTTAGTAGAGACGGGGTTTCACCGTGTTAGCCGGGATGGTCTTGATCTCCTGACCTCGTGATCCGCCTGCCTCGGCCTCCCAAAGTGCTGGGATTACAGGCGTGAGCCACCACGCCTGGCCTGTAAAATTCTTAGTATTATCTTTTCAAATATTGTTTTTGCCCTATTCTCTCCCTTCTCTTTCTGAAACTCCAAACCTATATGTGTTAGACCTTTAAGAATGTCTCATGTGTTTCTAATGTTCCTGTGTCTTTTTTTGATTGCTTTTCTCTGTGCTTCAGTTTGAGATTATCCACTGACCTGCCTTCCTATTTATTTTGTCTTGAACTATCTAACCAATCTGCTATTGAACTGAACCATTAGTTCTAATTTCAAATATAGTACTTTCTGTTCTAAAGTGTTTAAGTCTTCATAATAAATTCAAATTATCCTGAAATTATGTATCCTTTCATCTATTTTGTCCATCTTTTTCTCTTTTTTCTTGAACATATGATTCATAGTTATTTTAAAGTTATTGTCTGCTAACTCCAATATCTGACTCACCTGCTGGTCTGCTTTTATCGCCTTGTTTATGATTCACATGATCTTGCTTCTTAGCATGTCTCATAATTCTTTACTGTATGCTAAACACTATACAGTCCTTATATAATGTTATTGCCTACCTGTAAAAAAGACAGAAAAGGGTTCCCTTTGTACTCTGGTAAGCAGGTAAGGAGGGAGCTCATCATCCAATAAGGGATGGCGCTAGGTTGGGTTGTCATTTTTGTAGGACCCCGTCTGCTTCTGCCTTGACCCTGTTTCTAAGGCATGCCCTCCATGGAGTTCAAGGAGAGACTTTTATTTCCTTAGCACTGGATTCAGTTCTGCCCGTAACAAGTTTTCAGCTTAGCTCTTTGGCCTCCCACCCCACTCAGCTTGAAAACTTGGCATGTGTTTTGAGAGGGTGACTAATCTCACATGTGGGGCTCTCCTCTAGTCTTATTTTTAAACTCTAGCTCCAGAAACCTTTTCTGTATTTTTTGTCTCCCAGAAGCAGCCAAGCCTGGATGCTCATCTGCCTGCTACACCTGAAATCAACAGACACCCTGGGTGAAAAGTAGCTGTAGATACTCAATGTCACCAGACCACTTCCTCTAAGGTTTTCACCTCTCGCCCATTCTGTTTCCAGCCTCCAGCCTCCAGCAGGTCTGTTTCCTAGGCACTGTAAGGCTGTAGGAGATTTCAATGTGCCTTCCAGAAGTTTCTGGCCTCTCTCTTCAGCTCCCCTCCAACCTCAGATTTCACCAAATGTCGTATGGGGAAAATCGGTCATGCATTTGAGTGCCCCATCACACCCCCAACCAAATATCCAATTTGTCAATCCAGTATGACCAGAAAACCTGGGCTAGTATCTCTTTCAAAGCTAATAGCAGTCCTCTGCCTCTGCTCACATCTCCAGAACTAGCACGCTTCCACAGAAAATAAAATACCTGGCGCTCCTTGGTGGAGCTCTGGATGAGCCTCCCGTCTCTGGAACTGTCCCTCACTGCTTCCATAGCACTCTGAAGCCTTTAAGAATGCGACTTTTATGGCATGCTCAGCTTTTTATACCTGTTAGCATCTCAAACTTGATACTATATTTTGCACTACTAATTACTTTCAATGAATTTCTAAATATTTATAAGATATTGAGTAGTCTTAATATGTTCCAAAGTACAGTTTAAATATGCTTTTGAAAGAAAAGCATCAGTAAAACAGTTACTTCTTACCTCTTCATAAAACTTCACCTGAGGTACAGCTTCATTAATTTCATTCAAACAAAAATCTTTAAATAGCAAGAAACCTAAAGGAAAAAAATAAAAAATTTCAGGGTGGGCAATTAATTGAAATTTTATCCCACAAGGGTGTTTTCAAAGCAATGTGTTTATACCTCAACCTCTTCCTCCTCTACTTTTAAAAAAAAAAAAAATTCAAGAAACTAATTAATTAATTAATTAATTCCTAGAAATTAATTAATTCCTAGAAGGAAATACTCTGGGCAGAAAAATACCACATACTTGGCTCATTGCTTCAGGATTCCTTCTCTATTGATGTTCCCCCCTCCCCACCCCCCACTTTCTACATACTTTCTACAAAAGTATGATACAACAGGGCTGACTTTCGCGACCGTCACTTGGAGCCGCTGACCATTGTAGTGACCAAAATAACAACCAAAGGAATAAGAGATACAGACAGTATGGAAGTGTTGGTGAGAATCACCAAGACACTAATAAACACTATGCCCACTAAAATAGGACTAAACTCCCTTAAAAAACAAAAACAAAAACAAAAACAAAAAACTTCCAAAAAGAACTTTCCAAACCTTTCTAGTCCCTTCTCTTGCCACTTACTCACTATTTCCAAGTCCCTACCAAATATCTAGTGCCAGAGCAGATTACCCACTCCCAGGTCATTCTTTAGTCCTTCACAACTACATGCCTCACCTTTAAATACCTTTGCCTAGAATACCACGCCCCTCTCTGTATCTTGAAAATTCCTAAAATAACCAGAATTGAACTCAAAGGCCGCCTGTGCTCTGAAGTCTTCTCTGATGAGACAGCCCCTATTGCACAATGCCTGGTACACAGTAGGTGGTCAAAAAATGTGCATTGAATGAATGGTTGTTTACTTAGCCTTTCCAACATTCTGTCAAAATATTTACCACACACTAATTAGTTACCTGATTTATAAGGCTCCCATTCCATTTGAAATCCTAGTGCCTAGCTTAATGCCTAATGGTCACGCCTAGATAAACAAAGTTGAATAGAACAAGCTGATACCAGACTGAAGGTAGAGATACTTGAAGACTATAAAATTCCAAAAAGTCAAAACAATTACATGGAGAGTTCGCAGAAACAGAAGCCGCAGAAAGGAACTGAAGAAAGACTCACAAAGTCTACCACATAGAGATGAAGTGGACCAGAATTCCCCAGGTGGGACTGTAAAAGGAAGTGGCTGTGATGAGATTTTAATTAACATTAGCATAAGGATCTTGTAACTTGAACTGGTCTGTGACTGATCCATAAATTCCCCTCCATAGTTCCTGGAATATGGCCTTTGAAAATGGTAAGCGTTCGTTCACTCAAACTAGAGTAGAATGACAAAGAGTACTAGTTAAATAGGCACAGCCAGACTTTACCAGGGTCAGGCGCACACCTGCAGGGGGAGCACAGCCACGCTCCTCCCATGGAGAAACTGCGATGACCCCAACATAGGCAGGAAGTAGGAAATTCAAGAAGCAGGCAAATGGGAAGGATACATCTCTACCTGTTTGTATGTTAGTATTCTGATTTGAAGAGTAATGATTGTTTCTTGATTTTCATTCATTTCAAAGGATTTCCTAATTTCCGTTGTTATTTCTTCTTTGATCTGTGAGTCCTTCAGAAGGGTGTAGTTTAATTTCAAAATATTTGGGGATTTTTCAGACACTGATTTCTGTTTAGCTCTGTTTGCTGTCAGAGAACATGCTTGGTATGATTTCAATGCTTTTAAATGCATTGAAACTTTTAGTCTATCTAGGTGAATGCTGTATGGCACTTGAAAAAAATGTGCATTCTGTTCTTATAAGGTGGAGTGTTTCATTTAAAAGAATACAAAGGCAATTAAACCAAGTGGGCTTGATAGAGTTGTTCAAGATGGTCCTCTGCAGTAACACAAATGGAACTGAACGCCATTATCCTAAGTGAAGTAAGTCAGAAACGGAGAGTCAAATACTGCAGGTTCTCATTTACAAGTGGGAGCTAAACAATGGGTACACGTGGACATAGGGAGTAAAATAATAGACACTGGAAACTCCGAAAGGCAGGAGGATAGGAGAGGAGTGAGCCATGAAAAATCACACACTGGGTACAATGTACACTAAAAGCTCAGAGTTCACCACTATGCAGTGTATCTATGTAACAAAATTGCACTTGTACCCCCTAAATACATCAAAATAAAAGATCATCCTCTGAATCTTTACTGAATGTCTATTTATTCTCTTTTGTTTGTTTGTTTGTTGTTTGTTTTGAGACAGAGTCTTGTTCTGTCGCCCAGGCTGAAGTGCAATGGCGAGATTTTGTCTCACTGCAACCTCCACCTCCCAGGTTCAAGTAATTCTCCTGCCTCAGCCTCCCGAGCAGCTGGGATTATAGGCACCCACCACCATGCCTGGCTAATTTTTGAACTTTTAGTAGAGATGGGGTTTCACCATGTTGGCCAGACTGGTCTTGAACTCCTGACCTCAGGTGATCTCCTCGCCTCGGCCTCCCAAAGTGCTGGGATTACAGGCATGAGCCACCACGCCTGGCCATCTGTCTATTTTTTCTATTCATCATCAATAGTGAAGTGTTGAACTCTCCATTTGTAATTGTAGATTTGTTCATCTTTTTTCAATGTTGTCAGTTTTTGCCACATATATTTCTTTTTCTATTTCTGGAAGAGAAAACTAACATGAGAATTTGAACTTAAGTATTTTGATCAAATCAGAGATGTTTCCAAAATGTCTAAATGACAAAATGAAATAATACCACACATGGACCACTGTCTTTTGACTACACTTGGAATCAAACTGAAACTTTACCACAGCCTACCCACACCCTACCCACACCTTCTAGAGTCACCATTTCCTTCTCTGGCCTCATCTCACAGTGCTCTCCTCAAGCTCACTTCACTTAGGCCAAGCTTCTGTACTGCAGTTTCTCTAATACCAAGCTCATTCCCTTCTCAGGGTTTCTTACCAGCTATTCCCACTGTCTCACACACTTGTCCTGGATCTTCTAGACGAACAGCTCACTAGCTCACTTAAAATACCCCTTTCCTTGAGGAGGCCTTTCATGATTCTCATTCATTCTCACTGTCCTGCTGTCTATCTCGCATCCATTCACACACACATACCACAAAACACTTTGTAGCACTTAACGATGAGCAAAAATTGTCACATGTTTATATTTGCTTCTTTACTGTCTACCTCTCCCACTACAATGTAAGCTGCAATGCATAGGGTACAGGTGTTTTATTCTCTACTACATTTGCACAAGAGGATTGACTGTGACAAAGACAGAGCTCAGGAGAGAGAACAAAGGAAAAAAGGTAGAAGAGAGAGAATAGGTACAAGGAGAGGGAGGGAAGTGGGTGGAAAGAAGGAAGGAAGAGGACAGAAAGAGGAGAGATGAGGGAAAGAGGGAGTTGAATGAATGAACATCCAGCTTAGAATGTGTTTATGTACTTCTTTAAGGAAATTTCCATTGTCGGTCGGTAGAATAAGCCAAGGACTTAGTTTAACACACTATAGGAAACACAAAATATGATTTTCCTCCTGTGCGCACATAAACTGAAGCTTTACCTTCTATCAGCTGTTTAAATGGAGCTGTTAAAATGAAGCAGCAGGAAGAAAGATATTTGCCTTTTGGCTAAATCCTGAATCACTAGGACCTCCTAAATGTCCTAGGCTGAACACAACTTACCTTCATCAGCCTTAAATTATATAAAAAGCAAATGAAGCATGGCCTAGATTAGGGCAAAAATAAGGAAATACTTTGCCTAACAAGCTCACTTCATCATTGCAATTTCTCCAGATCTTAAAGAGTAAAAAATAGTGGCCTAACACCTGCTTAGTAGATATCTATGAAATGTGTTTACTTTGTTTCTATATTTGAACCACTGCAAAATGCTGAATATTAACTTTTTAGTGTATGTAACACCCAGGAAAGGCAAACTATCCCAATTTGCCATCACGATAATTTTTCAAAAATTAGTAGAAAGAATTGTATTGCTTTTTATAAAATGTAAGTTAAGAGCTTTTGAAAGTATTAAATATAAGTGGTTTCTATGAGAAAATTTGAAATCTCCTAAAAATTAGAAAGGTGAAAAGAGAAACATGAAAATTTTCTTGCGAGAAAAAATACTTGTCCTCAGTTTTACCAAGGAGATTAAGACACTAGGAAGGAGAGGAGACTGCATAACTGCTAAAACTTCCTCCCAATATTGACCAATTCTAGAAAACATTTGCTGAGTATCTACTAAGAGCCACTGTGTTACTCACTGAGGATGTAATTGTGAAAACAGTGTTTTTCCAATACGGGGCTTATGGATTAGTGTAAGAGACAAACAACAAAGAAATAAACACATACAATTTATAACAAGGAATATATGGTAATTAAATATGATATGCTGAGATAATGATAGAAAGAGGAAGATGTATTTCAGAAAGAACGGTCAGTAAGGCCTTTCTGAGCTGTGAGATAAACAAAATACAATGCATGTCAGATAAGAAAAAAGCTGGAATATGTAATCTCACTCCTCTTCAACACTGTATTGGAGGTCCTAGCCAATGCAATAAAGTAAGAAAAGGAAATAAAGGTTTTCCAAATTGAAAAGGAAGAATTAAAACTGATTCTATTCAATCTGGTTACCTACCTGGCAAATCCTATCTTTGTCAAATCCAAAGTAACTACTAGAATATGTAAGTAAATTTAGCAAGGCCACAGGATATTAGGTCATTAGATAAGAACCAATGAAATTCTTATAAACTCATAGCACACAATTTTAAAATGGAATTTTAAAAACAAGTCAGTTTGTAATAACAAAGAACTATCAATACATAGGAATAAATAAATAAATGACATACAAGACCAATATGCTAAAAACTATAAAATGTTACTGAGAGAAATTAAAGAAGATCTAAATAAATGGAAATATATACTCAGTTCATGGATTGGAAGATTTAGTATTGCTTAGATGTTAATTCTCCTCAAATTAATTTGTAGATTCAGTGCAATTACAATCATAAGTCCAACAGGCCTTTTTAAAGAAACCGACAAGCTG